CGACAAGATTTAAAACATCATTTGAATCGAATTTAATAATTTTTATTCTATTTTCTTCATTAATACTTTTAATTGATTATAAATCTTTGTAGCCTTGTAGTCAATTAAATTTTTAAAAACTACTACTCATCAAAGATATATATACATAATTGATTAGTAGTATTTCTAGCCGAACACGAACGAATAAATATTTGTTTGTTTTGTTCGTGTTCGGCTTGTTAACTTAACGAAAGAGCCGAACACAAGCGTCTGCCGAACACGAGCTGCTTGCGAACAACGAGCCGTTTTGGCAACCCTAGTTTTAAACACGCGTATGGTCACTACTAGAAGTTAAATTCTTAAATAGTTATAGACACTTCAACACACTAGAAGCCCTCGTAGAATCCTCAAGAACTACCTTTAAGTTGAACCAACACTTCCAATCATCCCTAACTCTAAGATTCATAGGTCGTAGTGGTGAGCTACGATGACATCTGTTGGTTGTAGGAGTCAGAGACGGAAGTTGCATGAGTTGTGACCCATGTAGGCTATAGTTGGCCATGTAGCCCGTAGTAATGTTTGATAACGTTCGTAGGCCGGCCAAAGTTAGGAGCTGCACAAGTTGTAAGTAATGTTAGTCGTAGTTGGTACACATAGGCCCATAATAGTGAGTTGTGATGATGTCTACATGATGTAGAGGTCAGAGTCGACAACTGCACAAGTTGTGGACCACATAAGTCATATTTGATTATTTAGGCTGCAGTGGTAAGCTGTGATGAAATTGTTTTAATTCTTTTCTCTTTTTATTTTTGAAGGCGCCACCATTTTATTCATCACGTATACTTCCCTTTTTAGAATAAGTCTCTCTTCCAAATCATGGATTGTTTGGGAGAAGAGAGGAATCAGAAAAGATGAACCCACGACAAAGACAACAAACAAGAGAAAGAAAATATTGAGAGTCTACGTGATAAACCTTACAAGGATAAGTCAAGTATGTATGCCCAAACAAGATCAGGAGGAAGTACCTTTGACCAATAACCGTGAAAGAATACCTACATTGACTACCCATAACTAAAGATTCATGTGTTTTTGCATGTTCTAAGGTTTAAAATGCTTCTAAAGGGGCGTATCCCATTTGATTAGTTACATCTTAGGGGTTGCTCAAGAATACTCTTGATCCTTGGAGTTTTGCTTACATTAGAAACAACTAGCACATAACTATCAAAAGGCAGTTATTTCATAAGGGAATGCTCCGATGCTTATAAAGCTCCCGCTAAGCCACAAGGCGTAGAGTGATTCTCTCACATTTTCGCATGGGTAACAGACTCATTAGCATATGAAACCTACGAAACAACAAAAATCATCTTGACGGGGAATCCCAATACATCAAGACACGTCTTAGCCATAAGGGCAGATATATCTCAAATAGGCGGCAACCATCGATAATCATACTGTTAAGATGATATCAATGACAACAAGAGGAGTGATAGGGCTCAAAGTGGGCAATCAAAGGAAGGGAGGAGTAATCCCTAACATGTAGAGGTAGTCAAGTCGGGGCATTACAAATCTGTCATTCCAAGCTACTAGGACCCTAAGTTTATCTGGTTGTGAAGGTAGTTAACCTAACACATCCAGAGATCCCCGATCAATAATCCGTGAATTGCGTCATCCACAGGAACCTCGGTTTCTCTAAGGTTAAGGGAATGATACTCTATCATAGATGAGACTTATACCCGCTGAAGTGACAAGGATGCCGCTAGAGAGGAAAAGAATGAGAAGTTCAACTACACAACTAGAAAACTCCCAACAATAAAACTTATTCTCTGTCTAGGTCAGGGAAGCCACTAACACCCTAAGAAAACTAGACAACCACCTAAGTAGAAATCATTGCTGGGCCAATCGGGTTAGGAAGTACGAGGACTTCTCCTCGATACATGTAAAATGATGCAGTTATCAGAGCGGTTTTTACATATTGTGAAAACCCTATTAATTATGACTTAGGTGAAAGTCATGTTTTGTAGCTAATTTTAAAATCTGTCGAAGGCCATGCAGGAAAGTAAAAACAGGTTTTGAAAACATGCAAGAAAAGCAAGAAAACAAGACAAATATGAAATAATAAAAGGCCTGGGCCGGCGACCTATCATAGAAGAAAAAGTTTGTCGGGCTCCGTATAAGTACATGTCTGGTCATATATCTATACATAAATGAGATTTAGAACTAAGGTACGATACCATGCTAGCTGTTCTTGGTCCCGTTATGCGGTTTCGTCTGCCTAGTGCCTCAGAACCCGTGCATGTACCTTATTTCTAATATAACTCTTCTAGGACTCTAAAAGTATAGTCGAAAAAGAGAAAAAAAAAACTCGGCCTACATGAAAACAACATTAGTGGGAAAGCCAACAAACATGTAGCGTATGACGAGCCATGCCTTTTTATCGGGGGAGCTAAATGACATCTGTAAGCAAAATGTTAGTAGAAATCATCACATGCTCCCCTTCAATAGTACCTATATGTGTGCATATTTATGATCAGGACTCTCTGCAGAAGAACGCCTTACAATATAATAGGGCTGTAAACGAGCCGAGCTTGAGCGAGCTCAGGCTTGGCTCGTGTTCAACTCGTTCGAAATAGCTCGTGTTCAAAATTGGCTCGTGTTCGAAATCGGCTCGTGAACAGTGTGTTCGTGTTCGGCTCGATTTAAATATTTGTGTTCGTGTTCGGCTCGTGTTCTGCTTGAAATTGGCTCGTTAAACTAAAATTGAGAAAAATAGATGTAAAGTGTGAGATTCGAACCTGGATCAAATCTATACAAAAGAAGACACTAACCACATTGCCACATGAGGTGTTATGATTTAAACTTATACATAAATATATATAATATATTATTATATAAATAATATATGTAATATATTGTTATATAAAGAGTTATATAATTTTTTTCGAGTCATTTCGAGCCGAACACGAGCGAGCAAACTGTTGTTCGTGTTCGACTCGTTTACATTTCAAGCTTAAAAATTTGTTCGTGTTCGGCTCGTTAGGCTTAACGAACGAGCCGAAACATGAGCTGCTTAACGAGCCAAACACGAGCTGTTCACGAACAACGAGCCAAATTGACAGCCCTAATCATGTAGCACATCAAAAAGCATAAAAGTCATGTCTAGTTAGGGCAATCAAACCAACAAAGAACTATAGTCAAGATATCGAAAATGTCTACCTAGCATCTTAGTCTATTAGATGACAAAAGGAATCAGGATCACTCTATTTATAAAGTTCATATTGCAAAAGGAATCAGGATCACTCTGATCAGCGACCTGGGAAAGTTCCCTCTATTAGATGGCATTATGTGGACATTTAAATGTCTTAAAAATGTTAGAATTGAGCGATTATAGGTTTGTTGGATTTGTCACTCCGAGATGTTCAATTTGACTATAAATAAACATGTCAGATTTAGAATCTGTTTGAAATTTCAATTTTAATGGATCTGTGCTTGATTTGACTTGAATTAAATTAATATTTGTATTGTTGGGATCGTCTCGTCTAACCGGTCAGTTTGACCATTAGTTTGCTGAATTCAGAGTTTTGGATGACTTTTAATCAAAATTTGAACGTTTCTTGCTAAAAAATTTGCCTTGAGATTTGTCATGCCTCAAAATTCGTGTTGGATGATAATAATTTGTTGATGGCGTATCAGTTGCACTCATTTTAAAGCGAAACTAACTTTATCATCCAAAAATATCAAAATTCTGAGCACTTTATTTTTTTATTGTGTTATTATTAATGTAATACTAAATATTTGAGTGTCATGCATGTCAAGGCTTGTAAATATATAAGAATTACATGATCATTAAGTATTTCAACTTATATATATAC